AGTTTTCTTGACTCGCAAGCCTGAATTTTGTTGTGATGATGTTACCTCGCTCTGATGATGTCCGTCATATCACGGACGAAAACTCAGCGCGTGTTCACGGGAATCGAAGGAGATTGCCTCGGAAACAGCGTCAGCATGAATGTTCCAGTAAAGCCAATCGACAGCTGGTCAAGCAGGAGATTGCCTCGGAAACAGCGTCAGCATGAATGTTCCAGTAAAGCCAATCGACAGCTGGTCAAGAGGACTCAGATTGCCTCGGAAACAGCGTCAGCATGAATCTTCCAGTAAAGCCAATCGACAGCTGGTCAAGAGGAATCTGCGATTGCCTCGGAAACAGCGTCAGCATGAATCTTCCAGTAAAGCCAATCGACAGCTGGTCAAGAGGAATCCACCGTTGCCTCGGAAACAGCGTCAGCATGAATCTTCCAGTAAAGCCAATCGACAGCTGGTCAAGAGGAATCCGCAGTCCTCGGAAACAGCGTCAGCATGAATCTTCCAGTAAAGCCAATCGACAGCTGGTCAAGAGAAATTCGCCGTTGTCTTCTGATGGAACCGACCTTCGAATCTCTTCACCCAACATTTCTACTCGAAATGGAAGTAATCCCAACACATTTTGATGACTGGAATGTGAACAAGTGAGAAGTTGTGATAGGGCGGCAATGGGATAAGAGAGTAAAGAGTAGATAGATAGACCAGGACAGAAAGATGAGTGATAGTGTAACCGTTTTCAGCAGAACGTTTGTCGAGGGATTGGCTTCACTTGTCTCTGACAAGTTCGTAGCTTGGTGCGGCGAATGGCAAAACTCAATGATGATTCTGACTACGATGCCGGCGAAACGTTTGAGAATGTATCAAGTCCACTGTCAGATGCTCGGAATCATGACAACTACTATGGCAGACGACTTCGGACTAGGTGAGTTCTACATAGTCTCACTGAAAACAAGACCAAGTTGCGACAACGAGGTGAACCCACTCCTACTAGTTTAAGACCATTCTATTTCATGTCCCGTTTCTACCATGTGTTCGGCCACTTCTGACCGTTGAATCCAGCTACCTTTGTAAGTATTTTTATGTTCTACCAATCTTTGTCGAATAGGTCGGCATGTCTCACCAACATAACATCGACCACATGCACAAACAATCTTGTAGCAGCCGGATCTAGATATGGGTCATATTTCTCTCTAAAAGATGAATTTTAGGAGTTGAAGAGACTTTAATTTCCTATGAAAGTGCGGTCTGAGATACGTTTTTCGGAGCTTCTGAAAACACTACTGCTGCGATGGCAAGGTAATGCAAATAGTGTGTAGCGGAAAGGCATTGCGGCATTCTAGTGACTAATTCATATCTATGATCAACTAGATAACAACACTGGCTCTATAGCTTGGAAGTTAATTATATGATTTTTGCCAGTCAATTATTCAAGCTTCGAATTCGAAATTAGTCTGAAGATCTATCATTACAGACAATATAGCGTACAGCCAGTGACAAAGAGTTAGAGTGCAGTGGAAGTGAGCGGATAGTATTTCTCTACAGGAAGCAACGTAACTTAATTGTAGCAATTGGCTAGATGGTGTTTAAAAACTTGTGCAAGATCCAGGCTGATTTCATAGGAATTCTGAGCCTAACCCTTATGAATACGTCTGAATGATTTCGCCTGCTAGTTTACGTAACTAAAATTTAATATTCCAATTCTAATTTAAGAACTATTCGAGAATGAGTGGCTAAAAATCATATTTATGAACATAAAGTAACCGATTACAAATACCAATGAGCCAACAAAACTGTAGGGGACTTCATTAAGATGATTATACGCCTTCATATACACAAGTACATTAACATGGCCTCCTATAATTATAGATGTGAAGAGTTACTGGGTTTCGAGGAATCTCCTGAGATAACATTATTGGGGAGACTTTCATTTCTTATCAATACACGAAGAAGATAGTTGAAAGTCGATCTCACCAGAAGACGGCTGATTTTCGTCGTGCTGCATCCGTTTGGCTTTAATACGATTTTCAGGCTGACGCAGCCCACGATATCTTTTTCGTTTCGAATGAAAATTAATCTCAGTAATGGGCCATATTACTCCCTAAAAGATGGTATAACCGGAGGAAGTGTGAAGGTTTCTCCATACATTGTTTTTATCCCCCACTTTCTAACTAATTCGCCTATCTTTTTTAAAAGAATGCATGACGGCAAAATTAGAACGAGAAAATTTATTCCAGAGTAATGAGATATTATTAACAATTAGGTCCTGGATAATGTCCATTATATGATGGACTAAAGCTCAGACCATTTTTACCCATAGCGAGGACTGCGTCGAGCTGAACGTCGTATTAAAGCCAAACGGCTGCAGTACAACGGGAATCAGCCATCTTATTCTGGTGAGATCGATCTTAGAATCTATTCTACATGCACTTTCATATGAAATGAAAGTCTCCCCAATAATATTATCTCAGGAAATTTATCAATACTACTTATTCTTCGTATCTATAATTTTAGAAGACCATATTAATATACTTGTGTATATGAAGACATAGCCCTCTTAATAAAGTACCTTACAGTCTTGCTGGCTCATTATCATTCGTAATCGTTTATTTTATAATATTAAATTTAAGTTGCGTCAACTAGCAGGCGAAATTATTTAGACGTATTTGTAAAGGTTAGGCTCTGAATTCTTATATAATCCGCCTGGATCTTGCACAATTTTTTAAACACCGTCTAGCCAATTGCCAAAATTAAGTTACGCTGCTTTGTATAGAGAAGTGCTTTCCACTATCACTTCCACTGCACTCTAGCTCTTGGTCAGTGCCTGTACCCTATATGGTATAATGATCGATCTTCAGACTAATTTTGAATTCAAAGCTCAAATAATTGATAGTGGCAAAAATCATAAAATTAGCTTTCAATTTAGAGCCAGCTGTGTTAATTAATTGATCACATATGATACAGTCACTAGAATGCCACACACTATTTGCATTAGCTTGCCCTCGCAGCAGTAATGTTTTCAAAAGCTTAGACTGCGTCCTTTGTTGTTTTCACCTATTCTTCCAGGCTGACATAATCCATTGAGTACATTCTCAGCCTCACTGCAGATATCATCTTTAAGTTCACTCTCCTTAGCCACCAACTATTGAGGTGCAAAATCAATACGTTAAATGTAATTACTACTTCAAAGAATTTTAGTTTGGCACTAAGGGTGGTGTCAATCATCCGACAAGATGCATGGGAGTGTAGCCAGCTTAATAGCCAAAGAGCATGTAATATGCTTTTTTTAATCTGTATTAAAGCATGAATGAGTTATTAAATGAATTTAAACCAGCACTCATAACAGTGTCTTACCTTCTAAGACGAAAGCCCCTATTCAATTATATTTCCGACTGCCCCATAATCTGTTCGCCTAATGTCGATTTCCTTATATTTTGAAGCCAAGCTTTGTCTTTGAGACCTAAACATTTCACGAGATGAAGCTTTGGGCATTACGGTGATAGGAGGGATTTCCTATTTGACATTCTTTAGAATAAAGCGACAGTGCATTAAATAGTATATAATAGAAAAAAAGAAAGATCGCTCAGAGTACTCGATATACTTTGGATTGTATTTACGCTTCCTGAGTGATAAATTTATAAACGATTTTCACACAAAGAATATAAGAAAAAACTGATCAGCCCAAAAGGCAAGATTCATTTCCCATATATTTACACAGAAAGCTGAAAACTATCCATTTGGCCTCAAGTGAAAAATTGAATAGCGAATAAATAAACATTTCCCTCATCCGATTTAGCTGCGAGTAAATTTAGCTAATCAGATGCAAATAGCTCTTTTTTCACGAGTTCAAAGTTTATAAACAGATCAGAAAATGCCACAAAAGACTGAGGATAGAGTAGGAAATGTTATAAATAACATTATAAAACATCAAATTTTGTTAAAAAATGAATAAAGCGGAGACAATGCTAATCGGAAATTGGGCGTTTATACCAGAATCTGGCACGATTGTCATCACTACATGACATAAAGGCAGCAGTAGTTGGTGAATGTACAAAGCATCTGATAGGGCCATTGTGATCTAAAAAGTTTGAGATAAAGCAGGTGATGAAGCAGTAACAAAATATTATGATTTTATTAGGGGCTGTAGTCACCTGAGATACTATATGGTGATGAAAAGTTTATGACTGAATTTTACCAAGATGATATGAGTAGATTTCAGTGCCTTTGGAGTAAACTTAGCTTTGGGAAAGGTTTGATTTGATCTTTCCAACATGATCGCATTGCCACAACTAGACCTTCTTCATAGTTCTCCATCACAGTATCCATGAGAATTGTATGTGTCACACCGTAGACTTGGCACGTTCCCAGACGTCTCATCAACATCGCAGTGAGTCTTGCAATTCTCAGCACCACATTAGAATTTATCAGAGACAAGTCCAGAAGATACCAAATCTGCAGTCCAACAGTGGAAATTATCAAGTATGCTACGGCAAAAAAAATCTGGACAGGATGCGTCCATCTAAGATTGTCTGAAATCACGACCAAGTTGCGAAAACGAGATCAAACCACCTCTGTACCACGAAATGAGATCGCGACGATACTAGTCACACCATTTTCGTCTTCATATCTTCGATTACATCTATCTTTGCCTACCAAAGGGCGTTCTTATCCAGAATGGACTAAAATTTCAACCTCGCATCCCCAATGGTAATCGTACGCGAGCAAGGAGTGTATATTTTCAATGTTAACACTACGCCGTATGATCAAAGATGCTAGTGTAAAAAAGCAGATGTGACTTTCCAGACTGGCCTGGCTAATTCCATATCTAATGATAAGGCAAATTTTTCCAGAAAAATCGACTAAAATATTTATTCGAGATATACTTACTAAGTATGCATATAAGCAACACAGTCGGTTAGAAAAGTAAGCAATTGCGATTTAGGCTTGTCAATTATTACAGCAAAATTTATGTTTACCATGTTCTCTTACTCACCATCAGATGTAGCTCGAGTTTAATTTCTAAGGAAATTTTGCCTGGAAAGAAGTGAATCATTTTTCGTTTATAAGCAGAATTTCGAGACTACCTTAAACAGAATAGAGTGAATACATCTCATATAAATGATTTACTAGAAATCTCGACAATTAAGTAATGTAGTCGATTGTTATAGCAAATATCACTGATTTATCGACACTCCAATCAAAGAATATGATATGGGAA